AAGTAGCAGAAGCTTGCGGCAAGAATGCGGGTCAACAGTCCGAGATGACCAACAGAAGTGTATTAATCCAGAATATAAAAAAAGGGAAAAAAAAGAGAAGTGAATAAAATACAGAAGCAGAGAAAGATGTGAACTGCTCAAGACGTGGCTGAAGTCTCAAGCATGGTGTGTCCGGTTTTGATCCGAAAAAGTTGAAGAAGAATGAACTAGCACCTACAGCTAGCAAGTGTCAAGGTTCAAATTTAAAGTCTGCATGAAGAACCATTCAATACTCAAGATCAAGCTTCAGAAGACTTATAGATAGGAATCTTGTAACTCATAGTTGACAGGCTTAGTTAGTCTTTTTCATTTCTTGATATTGATGTAATAACGGGATCGCGGACCGGAACCTCAACGGAACAGCACCTCGACCGGCTCTCCACCTCAGTACACTCCGTCACTGTTTCTACTTCTGAACTACACGTGGCCTGATTCCTTTATAGCCAAGGATATGTAGGCAGCTCAGATACCAGGGCTCGGTCACATCCTCCTTTCTTTTAGTTTTTGGTTTCCCTAAATAATGGTCGGGTCAAAAAACATGTCTAGTCATTCTTTGTCTGAAAATACTTCGTGTTTCTAGTCAAAGAAGGGCAGCTGTAGACATGTGATTTTTGACCCTCCCCAAGATTTTGCATATTTTAGCATTTAAATACTTAGTTTACGTCTAATATAGTTATTTCAACCAGTTTTAACTCTTCTACTTTATTTCGTCACAAAATGAAAATTACAAAAAAAAATTATTTTAATATGATATTTGAAAATACCAAAAAAATAAGTTTGTTTTAACGGTTAGTCTTATTTTAATAGTTATTTTGCTTAAGTAGGATTAATTAGTAAATGAGGCAATATTTTTAGTCTTGTTCACGGAGAAAGAATAAAATTTGGGTTCAAACAATCCATTTTTTTAGGCCTAATTTTCGGACCTAGCCCATAATAACCCAAGCCCAATACCCCTAAAATCCTAGATTTAGACTTAAAAGGAGATACCCTAGACCTAGACCCTTCAGCCGTTTCTGATTTGGAAAACAGACATCAGCCGCAATACACATAATAGACCCCCCCCCCCCGNACCAGCCCCTCTTTAACCAAAGCTTGCCGGAATTCCCCCATAGCCACCACCGGCGCACTACTGTCCGAAACACATACATACAACCTTCTTCTTTCTTTTTCTTCAACGCCTCATGTTGCTCCTTCTTCAACAACCAGTCATATACTGAGACACACAGAAGAGGATAAAAACTAAATAAATAAAAATAAGAAAACAGATCTGAAACATAGCAAGAGATAGAGAAACAGAGGAAATGAACGGACGGGATTTTTCTTATTCTGATTTCAGATTCGAATCCTTTTGATTTTCATGTCAAATTTTGGCTTCTTCTTCTGATTTCTGATTTTTGATTTAAAAGAAACCATGGAATTCAATAGAGCTTGAGTGAGTCGATTTCAGTCAAAGTTCCGTTCGTTGGTTCTGATTTAAGGCTATTGTTCCATTTTGTTCATGTAATTGCTAGATTTTATTTATCAATCAAGAGACTATTTCAGGTTTGTTTCTGATTCTTGTGCTTTATTTTTGATGTGACTAAAGTATGATAAAGTTAGGTTCAACATGGGTCTAGAGTTCTGAATTTTGGTTAATCTGTTTATAGATAGATAATGGGAGTTAAGGCCAGTAGAAGCAGATTGTTACAAGTTTGAGCAGTAATGAGTTTATATGAATTTCCTTCCTTAAGTTATGTGTTGTTGGTCAATCATGTTGTTGCTGCTCGATTCATTTCCTAAAGCTGCTTCTGCTCTTTTCATTTCCTTCTCAGCAGCATGAACAAAGACTTCAATTTGAATGCTTTCAATGTCGACGTGCCAAAGGTTCACGTTTGTCTTTTGTCTTAGTATTGTATCTGTATCTTCACACTTCATTCTTATTAGGAATGTGAAGGTTCTGTTTGACTGATTCTGGTTCTTGAAAGTTAAAGTGTTAGAAGTTTTTGTCTGTGAAGCCATTTTGAAGTGAATCATATAATTAGGAGTGGAGATTTGTTTGTGAAAGGAATGTTAATTGCAACTTTTACTCTCTGAACGTTTTGAGAATTGATAGAAAACGCTCTTCTTGATCATCAAATTCCCAAGAAGTCTAGCTATTTAGAAAGTTGCAATTGTTTGACATGTACTGTTATTCAAAAGCGTTTTAAATCCAAAAATAATCCTAAAACAGGCTGCAAGTAGCCTAGTAAAGTAATTGAACTTGCTAATAAATTCAATAGCTAATCTTACACCTCTTCCGCAAAGAACTTTTCATACTTCTTAGGGCCTCACAATAATCTCAAAATTAGTTTTAGGAAAATCATGAACACTGTAGCTGGCTTTAGGCGTGACTTAATCTATCGTCGTGATTGTGGACATGTTTGCGTGACATAATTACGATTTTTTAAAAACAAATCGGAGTATGCTTTCGCGCAACTTTGACTAAGCTTTCTTATTAATAATAAAGCGTTATTAATTGTGGACACGTTCGCGTGACATAATTTTTGACGCGCCAAACAAACGGGTACACGTACGCGTGACCTGGTTTAGATAATTTCTCAAGTAAAAAAAAAAGACAAATGCACATAGGTTCTAAAATCAGTAATTAAACAATTTGTTTAAGCCAGGTATGATCAAAGCGACCATGCTAGAACCACAGACCTCGGGAGTGCCTAACACCTTCTCCCGGGTTAACAGAATTCCTTACCCGGATTTTTGTGTTTTGCAGACATTAAAACAGAGTCAAATTTCCTTGATTTGGGATTTTAAACCGGTGACTTGGGAAACCATAAATTATCCCAAGTGGCGACTCTGAATTTTAAATAAATAATCTCGTTTCGATTGCAGTTTGCACTTTGCACGTAAATGTTTAAAGTGCATTTATTATCGGTGAATGGCAAAGATAATAGATTATGAAATCAGGATATACTATTAGAAAAAACATTGCGACTTTTGAGATTATTAGTTTAGAAATTTACTATGAGCTAACTTTTGAATATTTAAGTTCTTTTTTAAGAATAAATTATTAAGTAATTTTGGTTCAAATTTGAAAAAGTTCTCAGGACTTACATGAGCACCAGAATTTTGGGGCTTGTACCCTACGATACTTACGTGTCACTAGTATACTTGATGTGTTTATAATATGTCTTTGTCCCGAAGCTCGTTCGGAAAACGCAGTTAAAATTGTTAAATAAATCATATTATTGTAACTACTTTCTCGGTCTCATATTATGTATCGTATTTTTTTACATGCTCATTAAGAAACATTAATAAAGAAAGGGATTAGGTTATTATATCCTTATTTATGTCTTAAGATAAAATCTCTTTATTGAATATTTACTCTACTTATGTAGTATCTCTATCTTCAAGAACAATTATTACTAAGGATAAAAAAAGAAAAGAAAATAAAACTTAATTTTATCTTGAACTTTTAAAATCATAAATAATTTGCGATAACTAATTTTAGTAACCATGATTATTAATATAAGACGAAAGAAGTACTATCCGGACAAATAGGTCACCCCATACAATAATGTCTAACTATTTTTGGAAGAGAGAAGCATAAATGTCAAATCTTGCATTCAAGTGAAGGAAAATAAAGAAGGTGACGAATTCCCCACCAAGCTTTCTGCTACTTTTCCCCAAAGGCGGCTTTCTGACTTTTGACTTCTGACTAAATGGTAAATTGATTATGGAAATTCTAAATCTTAAGTCTTAGGGTGTGTTTGATATAAAGGGAAATATTATTCGAAAACTATTTTTAAATTTTTTTATATTTGGTGGGCTTAAATATTTTGAATTTTTTTTCATGAATTAATTTTCCTCTAATATGAGAAAAATATTTTCCCCATCAAGAAAAAAAATATTTTTTAAAACTCTTTTTTAATCTTTCCTACCCTATTTTTCATCCCCACCCCACCCTTGCCCCCAACTCCCACCCTAAATAAAAATATTATTAATGGTACTTTCTTTTCATGTTATAGATAAAGTACTTTTTTTATTTTATTTAGCAAATGAGTATTTTCTTTTCATGATATAAAAAAGTATTTTTTTTTCACTTTAACAAAAAATACTTTCTTTTCATGATGTAAAAAAAAGTATTTTCTTTCACTTCAACAAAAAAAATTCATGATGTATAAAAAGTATTTTCTTTCATTTTAACAAAATGAGTATTTTCTTTTTATGATGTAGAAAAAATATTTTCTTTCATTTTAACAAAATGAGTACTTTATTTTCATGTTGTAGAAAGAGTACTTTCTTTTTTAACCCAAAAAAAAATATTTTCTTTTTAGTTATGGAGCACAAATTTCAATGTTATTTTTGCATAAAAGCGTAATGCAACATATTAGTTCCTTTGGTTTTGTGCGAATTTTTAGAAGAATAATTAAATTTTTTAAGAAAAATAGAGTTTTGAAAACGTTGTTTTTTTTTTTTTTGGNTTTCCTAAAACATATTTTCTACTCTCTAACCAAACACTAGAAAATATTTCTCGAATTGTTTTTATTCACCAACCAAACAAGGAAAAATAAGTCATAAAACTACTCATTTTCCAAAATATTTTCCTTCATACCAAACACACCCTTAATTAACTTTTTTTCCCTCCCATTCTTCATGACTTGTCTATCTTGCTGGAGAATTTCAAAAAACTAATGGTAACATTCAAATAAAGCTAGCTTTGTTTGTTTATATTTGTTTCACTTTACATGCACCTCAATTATTATACAAAGCATTTATTATCACTTACCAGCACAAAATTTATTATCAAATAGCTCTGCCACCAAAACAAATTACCTAGCATTTTTATGGAATATTAAGGCTCCGTTTGTCCGTAAATTTTTTTCCTTTTTTTCAAAATTTTTATGTGTTTGTCCATGAAATTTTGCAAATTTTTGAAAATGAGTTTTTCGAAAACCAAAAAGTGATATTTTTAAAAATTTCAGAAAAACTCTTTTCCCTACTCACAAATTGCAATATTTTTCAAGTAAAATGCATGTCCAAATATAATTTCAAATTCCAAATATCATTGTTCAACTTAACTCTAAATATTACTTCTTCTTTTTTTCAAAAAATACAATTTTTATGTCAAAACACCTACTAAGTTTTGTACTTTTGTGAAAAAGTGATTGTTGAAACGGAAAAGGGTTAAATATACCCTTCTACAATTGGACTATTCGATCAAATATATCCCGGTCGTCTTAATATTGATCAAGTATATCCTTAATTTGACGGAAGGACCAGGTTGAGGGCTTCTAAGCCATTTTAAGCCCCAACCCAGTACCCAGTACCCATACCTGATAACGAACCTTGCTGAGAGAGTTACGTGTTCTTGAAAGACATTAAATTATTCGAACCGTTGCTTCACAATTGTAATCCGAACTCAACCTAAGCTTCTCCAATAGATCTCAATTTGTAACCAAAGACTCCCAACCGAAATTCAAACAAAGCCAGTGCCCAGTGATTAATACAATGAAGCTCGGGTTGTTTTCTTCGCTGAGTCAACTCCAATTTGTTCGATCTAACTCAGCCAAGACTTCACAAAATGCACTCAAATTTTAACCACAGCTTCTCTACAATGATACAAACTAAACCCAATAAACAATTTGAGCAATAATAGACGAGGTCAAGAAACTCAGTGCATCTTCTCCATAGATTAGACGTCTGAAAATTTTCAATCAAGTTCTTGTTAAATCAGATCCAAATGCACTTAAAACTTTGAATTCACGTTCTATCAAGCTTTTACAACAAATTTAAAACTTACCCAGTCGATTTATCCAAAAATCTTAGATCTAAAGTTTTGAACCAACCTCAAAGACGAGTTGACTAGCGGTAGAAACTCCTTTCTTTTTTCCTTTTCACCAACAATGTTCTATCACGAATTTCAGTTCCGATTAATGATTCTCGACAACAATATTCAACGATTTTCAGAATTTTACACCCAGATTTGCAACTTCAGAAAATGAATTCTAAGTTGGCATTTGGACACAGAATTGTAATTTCGAAAAAAAGTAAAAAGAAAAATTAAACGAAAATGGTATTTAATAATTAGAGTTGTATTTAGACATGAATACAATTTGGAGCTGTTTTTAAATTTTTGTGAATGATTTGAAGCGAAAATTTTTAAAAAAATAGTAGCTTTTTGGAGTTCTTCAAATTTTCGAAAAATTCTAAAATTCAACTTCAAGTAAATTTGAATTTTTCATGGTCAAACACCGATCCTAAAAAATGTAAAAAATTTCTGGAAAAAAAAGTAATTATTTTTTACGGCCCCAAGTCGTTTACTATGACCATAAAAAAGAAAAAAACAAAGAGCATATTTTTATTTTTAGAATTTTTTGACATAGGAATTTGTTCTGTTATTTAGGTGTTTGGGAAGGGTCGAGTTAATAGTTATGGGTACATGGTATTAAGCATGGGTAATTGGTTGGGGCTAAGAGGCCCTCCACGTGGCCCCTCCGTCAAGTTAAGAGAATATTTAATTTATAGTTAGACGGTAGGAATATATTCGATCAGAAGATAACTTTAAATAATATCCGATAGTAGATGGGTATATTTGATCCTTTTCGGTTGTCGAAATAGCACAATGAATCACTACATCGATTTTTCCTTCACTTCAAAACTTTTCTCTCTCTATAATCTTAATTTTATCATAACTCATTTCTTTAAGCTAGAAAAAAAATAAGAGAAGGTTGGAGATGCTTAATTTGAAATCACAGGTGGTGTACGCCACGACAAATTTTTGTACAAAATTAAATTTGGTCATTAGCAAAGACTCTTGACTTTACACTTTCAGAACGATTTTTTGGAAACAATTTCCGAAACACTTGTAACACTTCTTATAGGTTTTCTCAACAAATAAGTTACTCTAGTAAAGCATCTTCATTCATCATCAAACACAACCAGAAGCATATCCTCACAAACATTTTTTTCCCGTGTTATTAATAACAAACAGCCCTTCATTAAAGAACGAGAGTAGACGATGAAGACACATCCCAACACTTTTTTCATGTCGTAGTAATAACACAAGTAAATAACACTACACTCTTAATAACAATAACTACTAATGTAGAAGACTGAGAATAGCTTAAAGAGATAGCAAGCTCACCTCAACATCGGAATCACGAGTTCTCTTATCACCTGCCAAAAATAAAATAATAAGTATATATAACAAAGAAAGGCAAAGCAGGGTTGACCCAAAACAAATTTAAAGCTTCAATTTTCTCATCATCACTTGTCTATACAAAACAATTGGGCAGTTCCAATCTACACAGAGCAAAAACCTTGAACCAGAAATGCGAACCTTGCTTTTGCGAAAGACAAGTTGCAATTAGAAGGGAGTTGAATTTTTTAGGTATAACATAATTTAATGTGAAAGAAAACTTCTGTCCTACCAAATTCTTTTTACCCAAGGAGCCTAATTAGCCCCACAAAGGTCAGAGAAGACTAAAAGTCAAAGTCATACTATATATAGCAAAAACATAGCAGCACTTGTGCAAAATACAAACATGATGGCTAAAAAATGACGGTAGTCCACCAAATTCATAATATCATCTAATCATATAGAGTCCCAACCCCAGCAAAAAGCTACACGCTAAACATTTAAATTTGAGAACTGAAAACTCCTTCAAAGTCCCCATGATTTCCTTATCTCTCCATAATTTACAATTAATGCAACAGGAGATCGTATTCGGAATCCTCTTGATGTCGTTTCTATCATCCTTCCAGGCCAGCTGCAAAAAGCAGAGTATAAAAATACAAGTCATTTCCTACTGAACAATGTAGGAACTAGTGGTAATACCTTTCATTTGTTCTTTACACATTTAACACCAAGGAGTATTACATAAGCTGAATAATCTTCTTCTCAGATTATCTTTGTGGGAAGACATGATTCATGAAGAGCAATCCAACCAAAACAAGAGAGTTTTCGAGGTGACCTACATTCCAAAAATATTTTCTAAGGCTTAGACTGACAGAAATGGTCTTTTATTCTTTTCACAAACTGGTACCATGTTTGACAAAGTATATTCCAAATTTATTTTCTTTCCATTTAACATAATCTTCTTTTCCTGGAATCTTTTGTTGGCAACCCGTCTTCTATTCTTCTCCTTGAATCTATCAACAAACATTCTAAAAGCACTAGGTGGCATAATATTCCAGAAATAACATAGTGTTTTCCAACTAGCTACCTCATATTTGGACAAAGTCAGCAAAATTATTTTGAACAAGCTCAGATGAGAAAGATATAGGCAACATTCTGGTCCAACGAGAATAAACTTCTTGCAAAGAAAATAATCTTAGAGGATGATCTATAAGGCGATTAACCAATCAAATGACATTAGAAATTAGAGTATTATTGCTTTTCTTAAGTTTTTGCTATAAAGAAGAAACCAAAATTTCCTCAGGATAGGTAATGCTCACAAAAGGTACAATCCCATTGAAAAAATCTACATGAATCGTTAATTTTTCAATGAGTATGAAGTATGAGGGTGAACCAATTTGAAACACAATCATCTCTTTCTTTTTAGATGAAGATGCTATCACGTCCTTTTATGAGAATCTATGAATGAATTGAAGAACACCCATTAAAGATTTGGAAAAGACCTGCCACTTGATACTCTCAGCTAGAAGCCTCATTTCCAAAGAAAAGGATCATCAATTGCCTGTTGGAACACTTGAAAAATGACTTTATGACAACTCATTCATCTCTTTTATCAGCACAAGTTTTCGGTTTGTCTACTCCTAGAAGAATGGAGCTTCAAATATAATAATTTGTATCTTTAAGCCTTATTGATTGTTTCCACACAATATTTCCATGATGTCAACGCTCAAATTGAAATTCAGAAAAAAAAAATGCCACCATGGGTGAACCAGTACTGACACCTCAGATTTCTATACAAACTGGTCATTGAAAAGGTATGTAAGGTATATTATCATGTCTGTTAGGAATTTTTTGACAAGTATTACTCTGTTAAGATATCTCAGCAACATGTAGGTGTTAGGAAGCTGCTGCATGTATATTACAGAGAGCAAATGCTCAATTCCTCTATTAGCCCTGAAGTGCACTGAGAAAGTTCAACATGGTATCAACATCAGTTACTTTCACGGCTTCACCATGTTACTATAAAAAAGTTAGCGAAGAAATACGTTTGTCTTAGTTTCAGTGCACGTTTGTTTTTGAAGGAAAGTAATCTCAATACTTTTTGATCTTTTGCTAAATTCTCTATTCTAGCTTTGTTCTGGCTTTGCAAACCCTCCTTGTTGTCCTCGGGGAGGGTTTGTTGTTAGGCAACCATCAACAACATGCTTCTTCTTGTATATTCTATTTCACGTGTGTGTAGTCTCAAGCAGAAGTGTACTACTTAAGTGTAAAAAATGTCAAGTTCTCTACCCTCGTGTTATTGACTAGTCTTGTGCAATCTGCAAGGTATATATTCTAATCATTTAGACAGAGAGTACATCCTCTTCTCATTGCACAAGTACTATGTCTCATGGTCAACAAAGTTATCTGGATCAGGTTTAGAGGTTGTTAATAATTTCAAAGTGAGGAGTTGGACACCTATTGCTCACCAAAATCATATCTTTTGCAATGGAGATGTGGATCAACTACGGTGCTGCATTATTCCACTAATTTCTCAAACGAAAACCTCAAATATATTACCTAGTTGATTGTCCTCGAGAAAATAAAAAGTGAGAACCACTACTTAGGAAGAGAATAATGATTCAGATTTTCTAATGATTTAGATAACTCGATACTCAATCTAGAAAGCTACCTTTTGTCCAAGACATTCTATTCTCAAAATACCTTGTATATGATGCTTCCCCTTTTACATCATAAACCTTACTCAACCATAAAGGCAGGGATGCTCTTAAAGTGAATTGTACAACATCTCGTTGCTAAATAAAATAAAGACCTCAAAATGCATCTTTTTCCGTTCATTCACTCATTTAACAATATGGGAACAATGCCTGATGTTGGCTGAAGCTAGCAATGAGGTTTTGAGGTGTAATATTTATTTTAATGGAAGTTGCTGGCCAGCACACACAATAATAGCAACAGAGGTTTTACCAGCATTACCAATATACATGGGCATATTGGAATATAACGAGTCCAAATGGAGCGAAATGGATAGTGAGGCTTCACACCACAGACCTGAAATTGAGTCCTAGTTGTAGTTGTCGTGTAGCACTATGTGTATGCATAAATCAATGAATTATACAAGCACACTTATCATAATCACGTATCAACGTATAAGCAATGTAAGTAACAAGAGAGAAGGTGCATATTAAAATAGCTTACCTTCATCACTTGGATGGTTTCTTAAACCTGCAAAATCTCACATCTCTATCTCCGTCAATTCCCCACCACGCCAATGTTTGAAAGGTCTTTATGGTATCGTCAGCATCCCTGGCTTGAAAGGTGATATAACACCACATCCCAGCAGCATATGATGTGTTCACAGTCACATTTTTCACAAATTTGTAATTTGTAGCCTAAATAAAAATAAAATAAAAACAGCCAAATATCAACCAATCGCAGATATAATTTTTCAGAAAAAGAATGAATCAGTTAATTAAGCACGCACTTACATTCTGTGAATTGAAATCTTCAATAGCTAACTGGGAGAGGAGAACAAATTTGGGTTTGTTTTTCATCCCTCGTTGGGCAATAATTGGAGCACCAATAGCAGCATCCAAAGTCAAATCCAGAGTGATATCAAAACCCTAATTGCAGAAAGGACAAATCAAAAAAGAGACGCCTTAAAAAAGCATGCATACTTGATACTAGCATAGGACCTACCTCGCTCTCCCTGACCTGCCTGTGATACTCTTTCTGATATTGGATACTCATTTTGCGACCGTCCGCATACATAATAAGATATCATCAGAATGGTAGAAATCTTCTGGTCCTCCATCCTCTCCCAATTTTCTAGGAGGATTCTCCGCCATCTTTTAGGTTCAAAACAACTAGCTAAGGGTTCGATTTTATGTCTACTTATAGCTTTTTGGCCAAATATTTTTTTTTTTTTTTTCGAATGTGCTTTTTTTAGTTCAAAGTATATTTTTGTTTGGCCAAGTTTTTATTTAAAAAAAAAAAAAGAAGTACTTTTGAGCAGAACCAAAAATAATTTGAATAAGCAGTAAAAGGTAGTGCTTTTGAAAATTATTTTTTTAAAATACTTTTGAGAAAAATATATTTAGAAAAACTTTCTAAAAGATTGGTCAAATACTATTTATTGCTCAAAAATACTTTTCAAATTAGTTAGTCAAACACAAATTATTTTTTACCAATTTTTTTTTTTGAAAAATATTTTTGAGGAAAGATTTAAAATAAGTAGATTTTAGAAGCTTGACGGGCTATTAGACTACTTTAAGTTCTTTCCTTAATACTGTACCTAACATAAATTTCGTTATGCTTTCTGATGCATTTTGTTACCCCTCATGACATAAACAAATTATGTAACTTTGAGCACGTTAACCTTGTTCATGTGTAATTTGGTTGAGATTGTAAATTTTTTAAGCAAAAATAAAAGATATTGTAATTTTTTTTTTTTTTTGAGTTTTATTTGATTAGGTCGACTACCGCTTTCCTTGCTCAAAATATTGGTGGCGTCTTTTCTTTAATTTCTATCCAAATAAATAAGGCACCTCGTACAATGTGGTCAACTATTTTTAGAAGAGAATCACAAAAGTCAGGTCTTCTATTCAAGTGGAGGAAATTAAAGGAGACGATGATATCCCCACCAAGCCTTCTGCTACTGTTGTCAAAAGGTGACCTAATGAATGTAACTTCTGACTGATAATGGAAATTCTACATCTTAAAAAAAAAAAAAAAAAAAAAAAAAGGAATTTAAAGTCTCAGGCAACTTTTTTTTTTCTCTTTTTTCTTTTCATACTTCACGACTTGCCTATCTTGCCGGAGAATTTCAAAATAAACTAATGGTGATCTTCAAATTAAGCGTGCATCTTAATTATTTTATCATGTACTTGATATCTTCTATTAGCACACGTATTTAGTAACTCAATCACCAACGCGGATATGAAATGATTAACTAACAAAGATTAAATGTGTTGATTAAATTGCCCCTCAAAAGCAAAAATAATAAACCTTAAACAAAAATATCTAAAATTATTAAACAAGTTTAAGGCCTCTTATCACGGCTTGTCTTTAGGCGTCCAACACCATTTATCCGCCTCTGTATTTTACTAGTTCTCTATTAACTTGGCAAACTCCTCAATAAATTATTCATTAAGAATTTATTTTACCAAATTACTAAATTACCCTTCTCAATGGTTATTAAATTTGTATCTCCAATAAATATCCTAGATAAGTACTTAACACTAAGGATAATATTGAAAGAAAATAATAAATCTCTCTTGAATTGTTAAAATGAACAAGTAAAATAAAAATTTTATGTTTAGTATAAGCGGCAAATAAAAGGAACATACGGAGTAGTTGAACAACAAATTAGGAATTTGAGTATTACTAGAGGGTTCATAATTTGTGCTTTATCATTACTTTATCAAATATAAGTATTATGCTATACATTAAAATTATAAATCAATTTACAAAAAAAAAAATCATTAAATAAATGTTACTCCCTCCGTTTCAATTTAGATGACATAGTTTGAGTGATACGGACTTTAAGAAGAAAAAAAAGACTTTTGAAATTTGTGGTCTTAAAAGCTTTGGGGTCATGATATTTGTGTGGTTATAAAAGCTTCTCATTAAGGGTAAAATGAGTAAAATGAAAAGTTTAAAGTTGAATTATTTTCAAATTTAGAAATGTGGCATTTATTTTGGAATGGACTAGAAAAGAAAGCATCTCATCTAATTGGAAAGAGAAGAGTATATATTACTAATATTTGTATACAAACTCCTGTTAGTATTATGGTAATTCCAAACCCCTCGGCGCTGCCCAGCCCCCACTACCGCCTCTCACCGTAGTGGATCAGTTTCAGACTTCACTTTTATGCCGACTCCCCATCCTTGTGCTCTTTCTAATCACTCTTCCAGTTTGGAAATCTTTGGTTGCAGCAGCGCAAAAGGATGCAGTCTCTGAGAGACATTGTGCCGGCTGCATTGAACAACATAAACACAAAATTCATTGTCTTGGACAAAGGGAGGATAGCTATGGAAGGGCAACAAAAGATGTGTTTGGCACTAGTGGCGGATGAGACAGCTGCAGTTCACTTTCAGATGTGGGGTGATGAGTGTGATACTTTTGAGCCTGGGGACCTTATCCGGTTAGAAAATTGCATCTTCTCTTATAACCGCAACAACCTACTGCTAAGGGCAGGTAAGCGAGGCAAGGCAGAAAAGGTTGGAGAGTTTACCATCACCTACGTGGAGACACCAAACATGAGCGAGATACGTTGGGTCCCTGATCCTAGCAATTCTAAGATATATGTGCCAGAGGCTGTTATTTCTCTCTTTTCACGAGTGTTTCCACCAATGAATTGAGTATTGGGCAATATTCTTTTTTACGGGGTTTTCCAGGTATTATGAGAATTGACAAACATGCACGCCTGAGCTAAAACAGCTTCCTCTCCTTTGATTCATCAAGGTATTTTCCTTCCAAAAGCTGCATTTTTGTTTGTAGCACTGGAAGAGTGATCAGATTGTCACACTCACCTTTATTATGGATTCTGAGATATCTGTTTGATCAATATCATAGAAAGGTAATGCTACTCTGGATCAAATGCAGGCGTTGGCCAAAGCTAACTAAACTTAAGTTTGGTCAAGAAAACTTGGACTCAGGTTTACTTGATGCATGAATCAATGTGTGGTGTAACATTCAATCTTGAGCTGAATCATCTTCTTTGTTTACGCTTTTTTATAGTATATTTAAGTCTTTACTTTTATGGATTTCTTGTGGACAAACTCAACGTTTAGCCCCACAAAAAAAGGGAGTGCGTCGACGATGATGTAGTTGTAGCAATCATCATACAAGGCAGTTGGTCATGCAAGCATTAGAAAAGTTTCTCTCTGCATTCGTCTTTCAGAATGATTTTGGGAAACAATTTCTGAAACACTCGTAAAACTTCTTAGGTTTTCTCAACAATAAGTTGCTAGAATAAAGCATCTTCATTCATCATCAAATATAACAAGAAGCATGATATCACAACACTTTTTTCCTTGTCTCAGTAATAACACAAAGAACCCTTCTTTAAACTACGAGAGTAGACGACACATACCAACACTTTTTCATGTCGTAGTGATAACACAAGTTAATAACACTACTATTCAATAACTATACCAGAATAGAAGACTGAGAAGAGCTTAAAGAGATGGCAAGCTCACTGCATAGCTTTCACATCAACATCAGAATCAAGAGTTCTATTATCACCTGCCAAAAAATAAAATAATAATTATACTAAAGAAACGCAACACAAGGTTGGCCCGAAACAAATTTATAGCATCATTTTTTCTCATCATCACTTGTCTATATGCAAAACAATTTTGGCAGTTCCAATCTGCACAGAGCAAAAACCTTGAACCAGAACATGCAGACTCACGGAATTGAAAAGAAACCATTGAAGAGAAGATTCTAGAAAACTCAGAATGAGAAGAAATGATTTCATTGATTGTCCTGCTGCTACAATGTATTGTGTATATATATATATAGCTCAACTAAGAAGTAAAAATGTATATTGCTAGTGCTACGTGTCAAACTCCTATTGGCCTAGCTGTAACAAAAATATAGACTAGTATAATTAAATACACATGTGCTCCTGTACAGCTGTCTGTGTGCATGTTCCTGCTTCTCAAGAACCTTCCACGTACCATCAGACAGCTCTCCATCCAGGTTGGCATCCAGGTTGGCAGGATGCAATGGCCAAAGAATTCGAAGCTCTAGAGACTAATAGAACTTGGGATTTGGTTGAGCTCCCTCCTAGAAAGAAGCCTTTGCCCTGCAAATGGATTTACAAGGTTACATGAGGAGGAGAAATAGCAGGCGGAGAAGGTATAGGAACAGACGAGGATGATGCAGTGGATGTAGGAGAGGTGGGAGATGTAGGAGGGGATGATACAATAGATTTAGAGGAAATAGGAGTAGGTGAAATAGAAATAGATGAGGAATTCAAAGGAGACGAGGTAGGAACTGGATGTGGGAAAGGAGAAACAGGACGAGTAGAAACAGAAGAAATGACAGATGAAATAGGAAGAGGAGAATGAAAAGGGAGTATGTGTTCATGGAACTTAATATTTCGGGAGACCAAGAATTGCTGCGATTGTAAACTCATGACTTTGTAGCCTTTCTTTCCAAAAGGATAACCAAGGAATGCACAAGGTGTGGCTCTAGGATCTAATTTATTTCTCCCATGAGAGAGTGTAAAAGCAAAACACAAACAACCAAACGATTTTAGGAAGGAGTAATCTGGTGGTTTATCAAATAATTTCTGGTAAGGAGAAACATTACCCAAAATTCTTGAAGGAAATCGGTTGAGAAGGAATGTAGCTGTTAACAGACAGTCACCCCAAAATTTAATAGGTAAATTGGACTGAAATAATAAAGCCCGACATGTTTCAAGTAGGTATTTATGCTTGCTCAACCACACCATTTTGTTGTGGTGTCATTACACAAGAGGTTTGATGGAGAACACCAAGAGAGGAGAAAAACTGAGAATGTGTAGTCCCTGACCCAAGCTCATAAGCATTATTAGATCGAACTTTCTTGATTTTGACATCGAATTGTCGCTCTACCATGGCAAAGAATGCTTTGAGGACAGGAAAAGCATTTGACTTAGTGAATAACAAAAATGTCCAGGTACATCTTGTAAAATCATCAATAATTGTCAAGAAGTAACGATGACCATTATAAGTAGGCGTAGAATATGAGCCCCAAGTGTCTATATGAATTAGGTCAAATTTTTGTTTAGAAGTTATATAGCTAGATGGAAAGGAGAGTTTTGTTTGTCTTGCTTTTGGCCAAATTACACAGACTTCATTTTATTCAGAATTCAATTTGTGAGGTATTCCAGGAATGTTACTCATAGCAGGGTATGGTAAATGACTCAAACGTTGATGCCACAATTTACTCAAAGTACTACAATTCATAGAGCAAATAATTTTATTCATTGAATTAGCTTCAGTTACAACGTCGCTAGAAAGACGTCCATCAAAAGGACTTACATTGAAAACATCTGAAAATAGAGATTGTAAAGAACTATATGGGACACTAGGTTCAACAGAAGTAGTGGAATTGACACTGACATTGGAAAGACTAGAACTAGAACTGGGAGTTGCATTGTCCAACACATAGAGTCCATCAGTGGTCTCACCAAACACCTATAGCCTCTTCAGAGAAGGGGCATGTATGTCACAACCAAATTTGTTAAAAATCAGTAAACAATCAAGTTGAGTGCACAACTGTTGTATAGAGATCAAGTTGTGTTTAAAACTTAGTACATATAGAACATTTATTAAAATTAGATTAGGAGGAATAAGCAATTTTCCAATGGCAATAGTTTTAACTTTGTATCCATTTGGTAGATTAACATATACAGGATTGGACAATTCTTTGGTGTCATGAAGGAGTGAAATATCATAAGTCATGTGTTGTGTGGCCCCTGTATCAAGTATCCAGGGATTATTAGGAAGTTTACTGAGGTGAGAAGAAAAGGCATACAAGGCAACTATCATACCAGCCATGTTAGCAGTCACATTAGCCTCAAAATCCGAAGAAACTCCTTGACCTGCATGAAGATTTTGAAGTAAATGAATCAGTTTATCACACTGCTCCTTTGAGAAGCCTTGCACTATACTCATGGTATTCACAGCCAGGTTAGTCTCAAAAGAACCTCCTTCTTCAATTTCAAATGCTGTATTTGCACTCCCTTGTGCATTTCCATAAGTCCTCTTCTGCTTAGTGAACTTGAAAGAGGGAGGAAATCCGTGCAACTTGTAACACTTTTCAATCAAATATCCTGATTTCTTACAATAATTGCAAAACATTCCACCTTTACAATTCTCAAAATTGCCTTTCTGGACATTACCTCTATTTTCCCACTTTGCATTTTGAAACTTTGTACCTGCTGCATTGAATGAAGAGGTTTTTCCTGAAAACTATATAGAAGCATGAACTTCACGTTGCTTTTCTTCATGCAACAGAATATAGTAAGCCTCATTCGGAGTGGGCAAAAGCTTCATCATAAGAATGTTTCCTCTAATAGATGTATAAGCCTCATTTAATCCCATCAACAACTGAATTAGCTTCTGATTTTCCGTCGCCTTCAAATTCCTTGTCTTAGCTCCACATTTACACTCACATCCACAAATTTCGAAAATGTTAAGAAACTTCAATTCGTCCCAAATTCGTTTGATTCTAGTAAAGTACGTGGCTATATCATAAGTTCCTTGCGTAATACTACTAAGTTCTTTTTGCAATTGAAATAATTGAGTTCCGTTTGACTGTCCATACCTTGTCTCTAGTTCTTCCCAAAGTTCCTTTTCTGTAGAAGAGTACAAAACACTGTCACCTATATCTTTGCTTAAGGAGTTAAGAAGCCATTGGATTACAATATCGTTGCACCGATTTCAGTTCTAAAACTGAGCTGATTTCTCATCTGGTATTTTGATACAACCGTTTATGAAACCTAATTTGTTCCTCACAGATAAAACTATCAGCACACTTCTCCTCCAAGCTCCATAGCGGGAACCATCAAAAACTTGAGATACAATGGTCAAACCAGAGTGATCAGTCGAACTCAGAAAGTATGGATTAGAATAATCCATAGCACTAGCTGGAGAAGTCACGTTTGATGGAGAAGAAATCGTTTCTGTTGTGCTGCCCATTCTCAGCGAAAATTGAACGAAAAAGAATTTGAAAAAAAAAATTGAACAAGGATTATTGAAGAGAAGAACAACGGACTCGTAAAATCAATAGGAATCAGAAATGGATTAGAAGAGAATTGATTCGCGTAATCTCGATCTCCATCGCTGCTCTGATACCATCACGGAATTGAAAAGAAACCATTGAAGAGAAGATTCTAGAAAACTTGAATGAGAAGAAATGATTTCATTGATTGTCCTGCTGCTACAATGTATTGTATATATANACGGTCTGTGTGCATGTTCCTGCCTATCTAGAACCTTCCACGTGCATCAGACTTCATCAAGTAGAACTAATCAAAATTATTTTGTCAAGTTTAAGTCTCCTCTGCCTCTATCAAACACTTCCTCACGGATGTGTATTGGCTCAGATTCATCACTGGCAACACAGACCTTGCTTTCGACAAAGACAAGTTGCAATGAAACGGTATTTGGATTTTTTAGGTATAACATAATTTTGAAAGAATTTACCAAATGAACCTAATTAGCTGCTGAAAGATCAGTGAAAACTAAAGAACCATCATCAAAGACATGATGCTCAAATGCACCCAGGACTCATATAAAGATGGACCTGAAGTTTCAAGAATCTCAACCCTCTTTAGTATAACCTGGCTAAGTAGTACAAAAATTGTGGACTAGACCAAAGACCTAAAAATGGCTGTGTGGTAGGTTGTCCAGTAAGATTGAATTTGGCCACTGAGGACTTCACAACATATCGTACCTAACCTATATATGCAGATACCCTCTTAAGAAGTGGGTTGCTTAAAAAGACAAATTCCAACTCATTTATTGAAGTACGACTGATGAATTGTGTGAATCATGTCTAAAAAAGCTTATATTGTTATAAAAAGATACACTTTCTATAAGGTCTATACACTTTTGTTATAGAAGGATACTTTTCTTTATTTATATTAGCAATGCGCCTTCTCCGATGCATACCTGATTGGTTTTCCAGGACAACCACGTAAAAATACTTTTTTAATGGCTATGAGATTCAAACTAACGATGTCCCTTAGCTCCGATACCATCAAAAATAATAAGTGAAACGACAAAGAAGATTTGAGAGCATGTGAAGACTAGTTTATAATGCACATTTTATTATAGCTATATATATATATGCGATGTATAACAATATGTTACATAAATTATAACTATTTATGTTTACTAACAACAACACAGTTAAAGTATTAGTCTTTTTTTTTATAACCAAAAATATACTTAAGAAAAAATTATAGTCTCTCTTCCAATAGCTAACCTCTAGATATTGTTTCACCATAAGTCAATGAAAATGATGATAGTGGGAGAGAGTAGTGGATGATTATGAGTAAAGAGGAGCCATTGAGTTTCAAGGTGAAACCCTGGTTGGCCTCCCCGCCATTATGCAATTCCTATGGTCTAATCTCCAAAATTGGGTAAAAATGATCTATTCGTTATTACATTCAAGTCATTGTCTGCAACTGTTTTACTGCCTATACTTTTTAAATCATGTATGTAGAGATGCTGAAGCAAAATCGGGTTAAATATCTATTTAAATGATCAGCCAAAGGAAGCTCTTCACTTGCTCCAGAGCAATTATTGTCACACCTCCTTTTTGCGCGCCTACCTCGAAGGATAAATGCGTGAGGGAGTTTTTCCAATTTAAGTGACAATATTCGAAATGAGATTATTTATTTAATTCAGAGTCGCCACTTGGGAAAGATTTGGCTTTTGGTGTCCCAAGTCACCGGTTTATCTTGAATCCCAATTCGAGGAAAATATTCGACTTTCCAAATGAAAGTCTGCGAACCAGAAATTCTAAGTAAGGAATTCTGTTGACCCGAGGGAAGGTGTTAGGCACCCTCGAATCCCGTGGTTCTAGCACGGTCGCTTAAATTGTTATAATGGCTAAATATCT